AGTTCAAAAGGAGGTTAAGAAGAAAAGTGGACTAAGCCTTTCCCTTTCTGCCATTAAGGTAGGATGCTGCTACAAGAACACTCACAGGAGAAATGCTTATTTCTGATTCTTAATAACACTTTTTAAACTATAACTTAAAAATTAGACTTGACAAAGTAACAACTGCAAAACTAGGTAAGAGCTAAAATTTAGTTATTTTTTTCAAGGTAAATATGGAATAAAAATTTTAATACTACCTCTTCACGATCTTAAAATATTTTGAAGAAATACACTGCTGTATATATAACGTAACACAACAGCAGTATGTTGAAACATGGAAGCATCTACAAATAATATACTTCACAATTCAGAAAGGCAAGATTAAAATTGAATTGCAGCAAAATTTCTTTTTGGATGCCCTATCCTGCTACGTTGCCTATTCACTAAACCCTCAAGGACTAACTTATTTAAAAAAACAAAAACAAAAAACTCAGAATGGTTCTAGATCAGTTAAAGGGAGGTTAAAAAAAATAAATCCTAGCTACTCCTGCCTAGACAGGGCTTTATTTTTTTTATTGTTATTTTTTCCTGCCTAGACCAGGCTTTTAAAACCAGGTAGCAAAGAAGGTGTATGTGTACAAATGCTGCTTGGCCGTGTGGGCACATCACAAAGCAGAGAGGAGCGCTGGGGGGGTGGAGAGGGAGAGACAGGGACAGATGTGAAAGGGGTCTGGTTCCCAGGAATGCAAATATATAAAACAACATCTGGAAAAAGTAGTCTGAACTTAAGTGTTCTGAATTACCTGAGGTTTAATGAGATCAAACTGTGATATGCAATTTGTGAAGGAAAAAGAATCAAAACCTAACATTATTTTCATTGAAGAAATAAAACATATACTGCTTATAAACAGCCTTATGCAGTGCTTGGCAGTATAAATGAAAATGATGAATGCTTCCTACTCAAGGTGAGTTTCAGTGTAAAATGGGTCAAGCAATTTTGTCTGAAAATAAAAATGACCCTGTTCAGTGTTAATTTTAAAAGCTCACCAGCCAGAATTAGGTGCCCTAAAATCAGAACATTTTTAGTGTGGTACTGAACACCAGATGTTAATAAGGAACCTAGAATACTTGCTACTTAAATAGAAACATCCGGTGCGTTCATGCACCAGGAAAAATGTAACCCCAATTTCACCTGCTTTTCATCGTCAGGGATTTCCCTTCAAGCAGATTCTGATACCTCAACCCCACCACTGCACCCACTCCTCCAAACCTTTATCTTGCAAGTGCCAGTCACACTTCTAGTTTTTACTTGTGAAAAACACTCCAGGGTACCACATCTGTGGCATTCCTGATCCTCTGGAATCTTGCCACTGTCTAGTCTGTCTGCTTAGGTTCTTGATTTTAATGGTCACCTACCATTAAAGTGAATCTCAAAAGTGAATCAGAACAGAGTAGCAAGCTTCCTCGCACTATGTTCCTCCCCAAAACTCTGTCATGAGATGTTGCTGATGGGATGTGTGTTGCCCACATGAACGATAGGAGGGCAGATGAGAGTAAATAAAACTATACAAAAGACTAGAACTATAAAGTGATGCTTCCCCAAACTGTATCTAAGATGCCATCTTTTTCTTAAGTTTTCACGCCATACTGCCACCTGCCTATGGGAAGATCCAGCTACATACACCAAATCTAAGAGCGATAGGTTATTTCATCCGCCTTCACCTCCATGCCAAATGGCAGACTGCCAGCTGTCCCTTAACCTTTAACTCTTCCTTTCTAGTGGGGCATATGCTGGGCTAGATTTCCCAGACACCCTTGCAACTAGGTGTGGTCATATGACTAAGTTCCAGCCAATGGAATATGAGGAACTGAAATGTAAAACTTCTGGGTTGGTCCTTAAAGGCAAGTGGCTGTCTTCCTTCCTCACTTCACACCATGATGTCTTAGGCAAGCCTGGATCACGAGTGTGAAAATAACAATCCTGTCTCCCATCACAGCACCTAAAACCACAAGATCAACAGTGTCTGCGCCTACGGAAGGCTGAGAGGAGCTGTCCAGGCCCTACTTATAAGCACACACACAGCAAAAGAGAGAATTTTCTATCTTGTTTAAGGCAATGTTATTTTGGGTTTCTGTAATATGTACCTGAACCTATATCCCAACCAATACACTCCCAGGCTTATTTGCCTTCTGAGGTCAAGATTAGCGATTCCCAAACATGGCTGTGCCCAAGAATCAAAATGGGATACTTTTATGGGGGGGGGGGAGGTACTGAAATCTATACTTTTAAGCTCTCTGCCCCCATCTCCAGGTAATTCTGATGAAGTCAGAAGATCTGGGAGCTTGCTAATGGAGGCAAAAAGGAGATAACCCGTGGCTGAGGTTTCTTGGACGTAGTTTCGATCTTTTTGATCCTCCAGGAGTCATAAAACCCTAAGAAGTCTATCCAAGAGTTGCCTTTTGAATCTGCTTGTTCCTTACTTCTCCTCTCGAGCCCCACTGGGGTAGACATCCTTATCATCATTACCCTGAGCTTCTCCAAGGCCCTACAGTTCCTTGACTATTTCCCACTGCAGCATCTATTTTGAATTCCTCCCTAGAGTGAGGTCAGGCAGCTTTTCCGGTGGTTTAAAGATTGGCAAGGAGAGACTACAGCATCCATCTGCCAAAAGATCAGATTAACTTCTTTTTACAAGGAGCTGAATCTTACATAAATGAAGTGGTCATACAGGGCACAGACCTCAGCAGAATGTCCCTTGGTCTTCAGAGTCCCTAGGAGGGGAGTGGTAGGCTGCCAGTGACACCATCTGAGAAGATGGGATATTGTCCTGCATCTGCAAAACTCAATGTTTTGCCTCAGTACTGCCATTTTATACTCCACCTGAAGTCAGGGTGAATTTAACACAAACTGTAAACACTCCCATTTAAGGTACTTTTTATAAATACCATGTTCTCCTAAATGACCAACATCAATAAGGCCACACACTCAACTGGGTAAAGCAAAGTCTGTGCTGTGTGTTCTGGTCATTATCTTGCCTAGTTTTCTAGCTTTCCGGAGATCTAATTTCCATGCAGGAGGGAATATATCCCAATCGTCTGTGTGTCCCGAATTAGAGCTTGGCACTTAAAATGTTTGCTAAATAAATTATTACAAAAAAGAAACTTGGTATCCTTCTTGCCCTCAGTATCCTCCTCCATTTCTAGAGTCCCACTGTGTACTTTATTCTCTTGATTGCTCATCTCCATGGCCTTCCTGATGCTGAATGTCAGGATAAATCCAGGGCCCCCGCTCTAACACACAAGGACCTTTACACATGACAACCTTCTTCTCAAGCCTTCTGTCACATTCCCTATCCCCCTGGCCCAAAAGGGCACTAGCTTCTCCTGGTCACGTCTCCCTGACTTGCCCATGTTATTCTTGTTCTTGAGCTTCTCCCCTCAACCACATTCTCCACTCTTACTTGATAACCTACTACTCAACCTTTAAGACTCAGATCAAATGTCACCTCCTCTGTGAGAACTTTCCAAATTCCCAAGCAAAAAATTTGCTCTCCACTTCCCACAGCATTTTGTGCCTAAATCTAATCATCAAACAAATATTTACTAGATGCTTACACAACCCGTACTGCAGGAATTTAGCCCCTTCCATGTCTGTCCTTCCCATCAGACTGAGCTCATGTAGGATAGTGACTGTCACCGACTCATCTTAGTATCACCAAGGCCTGGCATCATGCCTGCCACTTCCCAGGCATTACTAAGAGCTGACTGAATACTTGCACCAGTGAAGCAGCAGATTGGAAACAGCCCTGCACAGGGAGGCGTGAAGACAAGGCACCTCAGTTTCCTCATCTGTGTGAGAGGGACTAGAGAACCTCCTAAATTCATAACAACTCAAGTTTTATGACAAACGGGGCGGCCAGTCTGGCTGACTGCTACAATCAGTGAACCAAACGTAAATCACCAATCAGTAGAAACACTGATACAGCATTACGATGGATGTCCATTTTGGGCTGGTTGTCTTTCCTTTGAAGTAAGAGCAAACTTCTGAAATTACATCTCCAAATGCAAAAAATAATTGCACACAACTGCCCCCTCACCAGGCTTCTGTAATTGAAAAAGGCACTTGGCGTTTCAGTTGGGCGCTAAGCTAGAATCCAGGTCCCCAGTCAACTTTGGACCTTACTGCTTGGCACTCTGCACTCAGATTGAGAAGACGTGGTTGTAGTGAGGGGAGAGTATAGTGCAAGCAAGAGACAAAACAGTAGGAAAAAAAAAAAAAATGGAGCTGCTACGTTTACAACTTATCCAAGAATGTATATAACTCCGACTAAGAAACAAATTCAAACCAAGAGAAAGTAAATGGAGTATATATTCAGCCACAACTGAACGGAGAAAGGAGAAACTACTAGTCAATACAATGTTCCAGGTTTATGTAATTCTCTGGTAATTTAGTCACATTTTCTAGCACGCAAGAAACCGGCCTTATTCTCCTTTATAGCTCCAGAACCTAGCAGAGTAGCAGGCAACATTTAATAAAGGCTTCTTGAATCGAAATGCTTTATCTTTACAAAAACCCAAAGGGGAGGTTTCGTTATCCCCAATTTAACACCGGAGGGAGCTGAAACTCCGACAGCTGATTTGCCTAAGTTCATTAAACTGAGTGACGTCTCCAGACAGCCACCGTAGGCTGAGCGGGAGAAGTCCGCCGGGCCCCGCCTCCCGGGTTCCCGCGTCTCATCACCCTGGGCGCCCGGCCGCGCTACCTGGAGCACACAGTCCGACTGCAGCAGACATGCGCCCAGGTCCTCCTTCACGCCCGCGCACGCGCCGCCCTCCGGCTTGTCCTCGTAATACCGGGGCATGACTGCGCCTCCCGCCCCAGCGGCCGAGACCCGCTTCCGTGCGCAATGGCTGCAACCCTGCTGGGGCGCAAGCGACACGCGCGGAGAGCAGGAACCGGAAGCCCGCAGCAACAACTTCCGGCTGGCCCCCGGAAAACTACGGGGCCCGAAAGGCCGCGCGCGCGGCGGTAGTGGGCGCACGTGACGCGTCGCGCCCACAGCGCCGGCTACGTTGTGGGGAGGGAAGTGGGCCCGGCGGCTGCTAGGCTTGGCTGCTGGGCGGAGGTGGCGCGCTAGCTTGGACCCCTTGGAGGCCGCCGCGGGGCTCCAGGTGAGACCTGAGGACCGCTCCGTCCGTTCGCGGCTCGGGCTCGCCCGGCGCCTTTTCGTCCGGCACCTCACGGCCCGACAGCCCACGGCCCTGGAGTGACCATAGCCGGGTCCGGCTGCTCGGTGGGCGGTAGGGTTGCCATATAAATCAAGATGCCGTTTTTTTTCACTTGAATTTCACATAAACCACGGTCAACGTTTTAGTGTATGTCCGACACAATGTTTCGGACATGCTTATACGAAAAGTTATACCTGTATCGGAGATTCGAATGTAACTGGGCTACCTGTGTTTTTATTTGCTAAATATGGCAACCTTACCCGCAGCCGCAGGCTGACCGGGAGCCCCTGGACTCGGAGAGGCGCTGATTGGCGTCCGGGAGGCCTGGGAGGTGGAGGGTGTGGGGCGGGGAAGTGGGCTGTTCGCGAGGGCTGGACGGTGACCTGCTCTCACGGGGCTTCAGATTGATTCCACCGGACTCTTGACGCTGTCATTCCCTCTGCTGAACTGTTCAGGGAGTAAAGCACTATGGGCTTGAGTTTTGTTTTTATACCCCATTCCAGTGAAAGAGTTGCTTGATGGTCTTGCACTGATGGACCTGTGTGAATAGGCCATTTATTTTACCTAATTGGTAACATTGTTTCTAATAGGCTTTTAAAACCGATTCCCTTGAAGACTTGATGGTTAAGAGCAGGGGATTTTGGCTCCATAGGCATCTCTGAGCTCATGAGGGGGTCACTTTATCTCCTAGTGCTTTTCTTTCTCTTTCTCTCCCTCCCCCTTTCCCTCTCTCTCTACTTCCCTCCCTCTTGTCCTTCCTGCCTCCTCCCTCCCTCCTGGTTAACAGTAGCTACCTGGGTGGGCTGCCTGAGGAGAGAAGTGAAGTTTGGGAAACTTCATGGACCCTATAGAAGTGTTATGAAGGTTCAGAAGGGTGTGGTGCTGCCCTTGCCTGAAGTGCAGTGGGCAGTTCTTGAGCTCCCAAATAAGCCTCAGAACCACCTCCATTAGCTTTTGACCCCTGACTCTTATCAAGGATTGTGGAAGAAATGTAAGATGACATCCCTCCTAAATATCTCAGAAGAGGTTGTTGGCAGCCAATAGTTTCTTAAGATTACTTTTAAAAGAATTTTTTTCTTCCACCTAGGAAGATGTTACCAAGTATTTCAGTGAATTCTCCAGTGCAGGGGAACGGAGCGTTGAACTCCAGGGATGCAGCAAGACACACAGCTGGAGCAAAACGCTACAAATACCTGAGAAGACTTTTTCGTTTTCGGCAGATGGACTTTGAGTTTGCTGCATGGCAGATGCTCTACCTGTTTACTTCCCCACAGAGAGTTTATAGAAATTTTCATTATCGAAAGCAGACAAAGGATCAGTGGGCCAGAGATGACCCTGCTTTCTTGGTCCTGTTAAGTATTTGGCTCTGTGGTAAGTGTTAGTTTGTCTACAGTAGAGTTGAAGAACAAACTGAGTGGCTTTTTTTTAAGGATTTTATTTATTTATGTGAGAGAGAGAGCGCGAGTCAGCACGAGCGAGCACAAGCAGGGGGAGGGGCAGAGGGAGAAGGAGAAGCAGGCTTGCTGCTGAGCAGGGAGCCCCATGCTGGGCTTGATCCCAGGACCCCGAGCCCAAAGGCAGACGCTTCACCAACTGGGCCACCCAGGCGCCCCCAAACTGAATGTTTTAGATTGTACTTGTCACTTGCAGAATCTTTTGTTATATCGTGGGTCAGAATTTGGGATATTTGAAGCTGTTCCTTACTTTCTGAAGCCTCAAAAATCTCACAGGAAAGAATGTTGTATTCTTTCTGGTTCTAAAGGTCCCAAGCGGATGCCAGAGTAAATTGTTCCCTCGGAATTTTGAAAAGCAGAGGACAGAGTCACTCCGTGTCTTTTAACTGCTGTGATAAATAAATTGATACCAAATGCAAACTTACTGTGAAAAGGAATATCAAGATGGGAAATTGCATTTCACAGGCAAATCTAGAGTGAGTTCTAAAAGTACCGATGTGAACTTGAGAAACTACTTTTAAGTTCTCCAATAATGTAGTGAGAGAGCCCTAACCACCCTAGGGTGTAAATGTGTGAGATTTTTTTTATCTTTATCTGGACTTAAATATGTGAATGCCTGTTCAGAATTAGTGGTCTTTTAAATGTTGGGACTACCCTGGGGAACCACAGACGGGGGCCTCTACAGTAAACTACAGTTAGTTCAGTAGCCATTCTGTGTTCTAGGGTAGTCTGTATTTCTCAATTCTATATACATATAACACATCTTTGGGGTTTTGTTTACATGACTGTTTCCTCCATTACACACGTGGGCATCTGAAGGGCAGGGATTTGCCCCACCCATATCCCCAGAACCTAGCAGAGTGCCTGAATTTATCATGTAAATCTTTCTTTCAGTGTCCACTATAGGATTTGGCTTTGTTCTGGACATGGGATTTTTTGAGACGATAAAGCTGCTCCTTTGGGTTGTATTCATAGATTGTGTAGGCGTTGGTCTGCTCATATCAACTTTAATGTGGTAAGTACTAGAACTTTGGTTTTTTAAGTACTGCTGTAGAGCCTGCATTTCCTTCCTTTAGAGATACAGTGGCTGATGAAAATTGAAACAAGATATATGAACTGAAAGCATGAATTAAAATTTTTTTTATTATTTAAGTATAGTTGACATACAATGTTATATTAGTTTTAGGTGTATAGCATAGTGATTTGACAGTTATATACATTATGAGATGCTCATCAAGATAAGTATAGTTACCATCTGTCACCATACAGTGTTATAATATTGACAATATTCCCTATGCTCTACCTTTTATCTCTGTGTCTGATTTATTTTGTAGCTGGAAGTTTGTACCTCTTAATCCCCTCCACCTATATCACCCATTCCTTCAACTCCATCTCCTCTACCAGTTTGTTTTCTATATTTATGAACCTGTTTCTGTTTTTTGTTCATTTTGTTTTTTAGATCTGCATGTAAGTGAAATGATACGGTATTTGTCTTTTCTGACATATTTCGCATACCATTATACCCTTTAGGTCCATTCATGTTGTCATTAATGGCAAGATGTCATTCTTTTTTATGACCAAGTAATACTCCATTGTGTGTGTGTTTTTGTGTGCGTGTGTATGAATGTATATACACCCCATTTCTTCTTTACCCATCCAACTATTGATGGATACTTAGGTTGCTTCCATATTTTGACTATTGTAAATAATGTTGCAGTAGACATAGGGGTGCATGTAACCTTTCAAATTAGTGTTTTCATTTTCCTTGGATAAATACCCAGTACTGGTATTGCTGGATCATATGGTATTTCTGTTTTTAATTTTTTGATGAACCTCCATACTCTTTTCCCACAGTGGTTGCTCCAGATTACATTCCCACCAATAGTGCACAAGGGTGCCCTTTTCTGCACATCCTTGCCAACACTGTTTTTTTCTTATCTTTTTGATACTAGCCATTCTGACAGGTGTGAGGAGATAGATACCTCATTGTGGTTTTGATGTGCATTTCCCTGATGATGAGTGATGCTGAGCATCTTTTCATGGGGTCTGTTGGCCATTTGTATGTCTTCTTTGAAAAAATGTCTATTCTGTTCCTATGCCCATTTTTTAATTGGATTTTTTTTAGTGTTGAGTTATGTAGGTTCTTTATATATTTTGGATACTAATTCTTTATCAGATGTATCATTTGCAAATCTCTTCTCACATTCACTTGGTTGCCTTTTTATTTTGTTCATGGTTTCCTTTGCTATGCAAAGCTTTTTATTTTGGTGTAGTCCCAATAGTTTATTTTTGCTTTTGTTTACCTTGCCTGAGGAGACAGATCCATAAAAATGTTGCTGAGGCCAATGTCCAAAAGATTACTGCTTATGTCTTCTTTAAGAGTTTTATGGCTTCATGTCTCATATTTAGTTCTTTAATCTATTTTGAATTTATTTTTGTGTGTATGGTGTAAGAAAGTGGTCCATTTTCACTCTTTTGCATGTAACTGTCCAGTTTTTCCAACACCATTTATTGAAGAGCCTTCCTTCCCCATTGTATATGCTTTTCTCCTTTGTCATAAGTTAATTGACCATATAAGTGTTAGTTTATTTCTTGGGTCTATATCTGGATCTGTCTGGTTTTGTTTTGTTTTTTGTTTTGTGTTTGTTTTTTTTTTTAGAGAGCATGAGAGCACGCAGGGGTTGGGGGGCAGAGGGAGAGAAAGAGAGAGAGAGAGAATCTTAAGGAGGCTCCATGCCTGCATGAAGCCGAACAGGGGACTTGATCTCATGACCCTGAGATCATGTCCTGAGCCAAAATCAAGAGTAGGTCACTTAACTGACTGAGCCACCCAGGCGCCCCTGATCTGTCTGTTTTTGTGCCAGTACCATACTGTCTTGATCACTACAGCTTTGTAGTATATCTTGATATCTGGATTGTGATGCTTCTAGCTTTGTTTTTTTTTCTCAAGATTGCATTGGCTATTTGGGGTCTTTTGTGGTTCCATACAAATTTTAGAATTCTTTGTTTTAGTTCTCTGAAAAATAATATTGGTGTTTTGATAGGGATTGTATTGAACCTGTAGATTGCTTTGGGTAGTATAGACATTTTAACAATATTGGTTCTTCCAATCCATGGTCATGGAGTATCTTTCCATGTGTTGTGTCCTCTTCAGTTTCTTTCATTAGTGTCTTAACAGTTTTTAGAGTATAGGTTTTTTATCTCCTTGGTTAAATTTATCCCTAGGTATTTTTTTTTATGCAATTGTAAATGGGATTATTTTCTTAGTTTCTCTTTCTGCTGCTTCATTATTAGTGTATTGAAACACAACGGATTTCTGTATATTAATTTTGTGTCCTGTAACTTCACTGAATTCATTGATTAGTTCTAATATTTTTTTGGTGGAGTCTTTTAGGTTTTCTATATAGAGTATCATGTCATCTGCAAATAGTGACAGTTGTACTTCTTCCTTACCAATTTGGATGCCTTTTATTTCTTTTTCTTGTCTGATTGCTGTGGCTAGGAATTCCAGTACTACGTTAAGGAACAGTGGTGAGAGTGTATGTTCTTCTTTTGTTCCTGATCCTGGAAGAAAAGCTTTCAACCTTTCACCATTGAGTATGATGTTAGCTGTGGGTTTGTCATATATGGCCTTCATTATGTTAGGTACATTCCCTCTCAACCCATTTTATTGAGAGTTTTTATCATGAACTAATGTTGAATTTTGTTAGATGCTTTTTCTGCATCTATTGACATAATCATATGTTTTTTATCCTCCATTTTGTTAACATGTATTGCATTGATGGATTTGTACATATTGAATCATGCTTGCATCCCTGGAATAAATCCTACTTCATCAAGTGGAATATCCTTTTAATGTATTATTGAATTTGGTTTGCTAATACTTTGTTGAGTATTTTTAGATCTTTGTACATCAAGGATATTAGCCTATACTTTTCCTTTTTTTGTAATGTCTGTGTCTGATTTTGGTACCGGGGTAATGCTGGCCTAATAGAACTGATTTGAAAATTTTCCTTCCTCTTCTATTTTTTGCAATAGTTTCAGAAGAATAGGTGTTAACTAAGAAAATAGGTGTTAACTCTAGGTTTCATAGAATTCACCCATGAAACCATCTGGTCCTGGACTTTTGTTTGTTGGGAGTATTTTGATTACCAATTCAAATTCATTTACTTGTAATAATATGTATATTCAGATTTTGTATTTCTTCCTGGTTCAGTTTGGGAAGATTGTATATTTCTAGGAATTTATCCATTTCTTCTTGGTTGTCTAACTTGTTGTCATATAACTTTTCATAGTAATCTCTTGTAATCCTTTGTATTTCTCTGGTGTAGGTTGTTACTTCTCTTTCATTTCTGATTTTAATTTATTTGGGTTCTGTCTCTTTTCTTCTCTAGCTGAGTGTCCTATCAATTTCATTTATCTTTTCAAAGAACCAGCTCTTGGTTTCATTGATCTGTTCTATTATTTTTTCAGTTCCTATTTCATTTCTTTTTACTCTGATTTTTATTACTTTCTTACTTCTATTAACTTTAGGTTTTGCTTGTCATCTTTTCTCATATCTTCAGGTGTAAAGTTATATTACTTGAAATTTTTGTTTTTTCTTGAGGTATGCCTATTAGAACTTCCTTCTTGGAACTGGCTTTTGCTGTGTCCCACAGATTTTTGGAACATTTTTTTTCCATTTTCATTTGTCTCAAGGTATTTTTTTATTTCCTCTTTGGTTTTGTTGTTATATTTTAGTAGCAGGCTGTTTAGCCTTCACATATTTGTGGTTTTTTTCCAGTTTTTTTTTTCTTGTAATTGATTTCTAGTTTCATACCAGGTGGTTGGAAAAGATGCTTGATATGATTTCGATCTTCCTAAATTTATTGAGATTTGTTTTATGGGTCAGATGTGATCTGTTCTGGAGAATGTTTTATATGGACTTGAAAAGATTGTGTATTCTTGTTGTGGGATGGAATATTTTGCATATATATGTCTAATATGTTGTCGAAAGCCTCTCCTTCCTTATTGATTTTCTGTCTGGATGATCTATCCGTTGATGTAAGTGGGGTGTTAAAGTCCCCTATTTTGTATTACTATCAATTTCTATGTTTATGTCTGTTAGCATTTGCTTTATGTATTTGGGTATTCCTATGTTGGTTAAATATAGATATTTGTAATTGTTACATTCTCTTGTTGGATGGAACCCTTTATCATTATGTAATGCTTTGTTTTGTCTCTTGTTACAGTCCTTGTTTTAAAGCATATTTTGTGTGAAAGAAGTACTGCTACTCTGGCTTTTTTTTTGGCTTCCATCTGCATAGAATATCTTTTTCCATCCCTTCACTTTCAGTCTGTATGTGTCTATAGGTCTGAAGTGAGTCTTGTCAGCATATAGCTGGGTCTTGTTTTCTTACCTATTCAGTTGCCCTCTGTCTTTTTTTTTTTAAGATTTTATTTGTTTATTTGTCAGAGACAGAGAGCACAAGCAGGGGAAGAGGCAGCGGGAGAGGGAGAAGCAGGCTCTCCACTGAGCAGGGAGCCTGATGCGGGGCTCCATCCCAGGACCCTGGGATCATGACCCAAGCCGAAGGCAGTCGCTTAACCAACTGAGCCACCCAGGCGCCTCTTTTTTTTTTTTTTTTTTAAGTTTTTATTTTAATTCCTGTTATCATACAGTGTTACATTAGTTTCAGGTGTATGGTATAGTAATTCAACACTTCCGTACATCACCCTGTGCTCATCACAAGTGCACTCTATAATTAAGAGTCTTTTTCTTAATCTGTCTCTTTTTTTTTTTTTCCTTGTTTTGCTTCATAAATTCCACATGAGTGAAATCATATGTTGTCTTTCTCTGGCCTGTTTTCATTAGGATTATACTCTCTAGCTCCATCCATATTGTTGCAAATGGCAAGATTTCATTCCTTTTTTTATGGCTGAATAATATTCCATTGTGTGTGTGTGTATACACACACACACACATACATATACACCACATCTTCTTTATCCATCCATCAATCCATGGACACTGGG